GATTAAACAAACTCATAATTTAAATACTTAACTTTGAATGAAAAATCTCAGCTTTTATATTTTGAACTAATGATGAATAAACCCTTGCAGGTAATTAGAATAAATTACTAGTAAGTGGCAAATAAATTACGTCTGTCTCCAACCTTAGTTTAGATAATCATAATCTGTAAAACCTTTAAATACCGTTCAATATATAATACATTGCTATCATTAACCATCTGAGCGAAATATAAGAGCAGTACCAACAATTGGTGGAGTTTCAGCTGTTTTTGCTAAAGCTAACTATTATCTTATCTCATTTGGAGAAACCGGAGTGTCCAACTCTAACCCATGCTTTTGAAATTTCAGATTGATCCGCAAAAGTATAAGAGCACCAGCTCTGCGTTTGGAGTTGTGCTAAAAGAGCAGGGTATTAAAGGTTTCTTTAGGGGTTGGGCTCCAACCTTGCTTGGGTACAGTGTTCAGGGTGCCTGCAAATATGGCTTCTATGACTTCTTTAAGAAGTACTATTCGGACATTGCTGGGCCTGAGTTTACAGCCAAATATAAAACCTTAATCTATCTTGCTGGTTCAGCATCTGCGGAAATCATTGCTGATGTTGCTCTCTGCCCCATGGAGGCAGTAAAAGTCCGAGTTCAAACTCAACCTGGGTTTGCACGAGGTTTGACAGATGGGTTTCCAAAGTTTGTGAAATCTGAAGGTGCTCTGGGGTATGAGATCCACATGAAACACTTTATTTAGTCTTCATCTTTTTTCTTTTTTCTTTTTTCTTTTTTTAAATATTTCTTTGGGGAATTTAAATTCTAGAAATTTTTGAATATATATTTCCAGGTTGTTTAAAGGTCTTGTTCCTCTCTGGGGTCGACAGATTCCATGTAAGCCAAAAATTATTTTGTACCATATTAATTCCGTGACTCATTTTTGCTGTTAAGTTTGGAAGATTGAGGGATGGAGTTAATGCTTTTGCAGATACCATGATGAAATTTGCATCTTTTGAAAACATTGTGGAGCTGATCTACAAGCATGCCATTCCAACTCCGAAAGAAGAGTGCAGCAAAACATTGCAGCTTGGGGTGAGTTTCACCGGTGGATATATAGCTGGTGTTTTCTGTGCTGTGGTATCACACCCTGCAGACAACCTGGTGTCCTTCCTTAACAATGCCAAGGGCGCAACCGTTGGCGATGTATGTAAAATCTTAGTTTGTTCTGGTTTCATTATTTTTCCACACCTGTTCTTTTCATTATTCATTTGTTTACCTGGTTTGTTTTGTGCTTCTTATCCACTACTGCAGGCAGTGAAGAAGTTAGGATTATGGGGCCTTTTCACAACAGGCCTTCCTCTACGAATTGTCATGATTGGAACACTTACTGGTGCACAATGGGGAATCGTTGATTCCTTTAAAGTTTTTGTTGGGCTGTAAGTTCCTTCAATTTTTCTCCAGAAGTTCCACTTTTCTATCTCTGAGACAGACTAATGACTTGAACCTTGATGCTCACTACAGGCCAACCACTGGCGGTGTTACTCCGGCACCTGTTCCTGCCGTTGCCAAGGCATGAATCTTCGAGCTGATGGCGACCGAACACAATCCATTCTTTTAGCCTGTAACAGGAGAAATAGGTGGATTGGTTCCTTTCCAAAACAGGATCACGGACCTTGGTCACTGTCTTAGAGATTTAGGTTGCGTTTAGGATCCTTTTTCACCACGTTTTTTCACATACCATTTTATAAAAATGTTTATTTATTTTAATTGATATTTTACATAATTTAATGATTATATTAGTGTGTAAAATTTTAAAAAAATAATTATTAAATAATAATATAATTTTCCTTACAATGGAATATTAATTCAGCTACATGATTGAGAGCAATCCCAACCTAATAAAGCATTTATTATACTTGTTATAGCTGGTCGGTTGATTTTTAAGGATGGTTCCAGAGAACAATCTTCGTTCTTGGTATTGCTACTGTTTGACTGAAGCTTCAGACTGCCCCAAGTATACAAATGAGATTCTGAGAACATTAAAACAAGATAGAATTCAGAATTAAAAGAAACGAACTTTGACTAGCCATTCCCATGAGAGGATCACAGGAGCTTTGAAAACTGTCACTGAAGACACTTTCCGGCTCATCAAGGGTCTGAAGTGCAGGGATAGATCCAAACCCAGTCTACAGTGAAGGAATCAGATGATTAAAAAAAGAAAAAAAAAAAAGAGAGAGAGAAAACATGAAGACCCATAAACATACAGTAGAATTTAATTACCTTGCAAAAGCAGTAAAAGACAAGAGGGGTCAAAGAGAGAATTGGGGTCTGCAAATAAAGCTTAAACCTGGAACCCCCATAGACCATATGTTCCCGATCGAGGAAGAAGATGAGTTTAAACCATGAACTGATTAATGCACAGTCTTTTTAGGGTTTAAGAAATTAGTAATTCCCCGGCCCATATTGAAATTGGGCTTCAAACTTCAAATAAGGCCCACTTGAAAAGTGGGCTCCTTCGATAGCTGACCTTCTCTTGATAACATTTTTTTTTTTTCGTTTAAATTTATATCTTTATTCTAAGCTGAACGCTGATAAGTATGAATGGTTAATTTATTTTTTCTCAACATAGCGCGATGGTTAATGTATTTCACCAATATGTTTTATTTTTTCCTTGCATATCAAGATTTTAAAACATGAAGAACGGTCCGCTCTAATCTAATGGTATTAGACCTTGAGTTAAGGTTGTTTACTTCCGTAAGTTACTTCCGTAAGTTACTTCCGTAAGTTGCACGTTCGAGCTCCACGGAACCTCTTTTCTTTCTCTCCCAATTAACTCTGTAAATAATTACAAATTATTCAAAAAAAGATTTTAAAACATGAAAAGTCCACTAAGTAACTCTTTCATTTGTATAGCAAAGCATGGTAAAAATTTCAGAGCCGAACAAAAAAAAAAAAAAGAGCACAATTAGTGAAGTATTTTTTTATATGATTAATTACAGTGTCTTGGATCCAACTTACACTTAATCCATCATCTGGCATAATAGTACTCATATAACATGCCCATATATGCATATGTCTATATGCAAGCATGATAGTTTCCATTATTGTTGTTGTTTTTTTTTTTTTTTAACATCGTATGATACATTATATAATAAAAAATAATTTTTCTCTTTCCTTAATACATTTCTACCTATCTCATGGTTCAAATTCTAAATTTTTAACTTAAAATCTTAAGTTTTTAATTATTTAATTCACTCACTCGGAGGTATAATTTCCTATATTGTTTTTGTTAGCCAAGATATTAGTCTAGGTAACTTTATTACTACATCATTAATTATTTATGTCACATTTTTTTATATTAATTGATAATTATAACCCTTAAATTCATTTTATATTTAGTTTATTTTCATTTACACTAAAACTAAAAGTGAATTAAAATTAAGGTTTAATAATCTCTCTTTGGTTTTTTTTTTTTTAAAAAATTATGAACCAAGTCAATCATTGAAATTCTTATTAGAGAGAGAGAGGTTAGAAGGAGGATTAAGGGTTCAAGATGAGGAAGTGCTTTTTTGTCAATAATTTAAATAATTATTTTTTACGCTTTTATCAAATTTAATAATCAAATAAGTTAAAAATATGTAGAATTAATCATTGAGAGCATGACAATAACCCTCCCAGTTGTTTTTTGGAACATATATGTGCGACGTGCAATATTGTTGTCACCATATTATTGTTATTCTTCGTTTGTACAAAAATGGGTTTCATTGCAACTAGATGAGTAGGGTTGGATACATTAAATCATTGCTGGGTCCAAAGTAGTTTTATAGCCCTCTGTTGCAGAAAGAAAAGAGGACACAAGTGTTGGTTCACAGTAATAGTGCCACATTTGTCCACTCGTATCTAGACCTAACCTAAAACCTAACTGCAAATTGATTTGTGTTTTCGTTTTCCCCCTTGAAAGATATGTCCAATCCATCAAGATCTATTTTTGTGTTTGTTTGAAATTGTTTCCTTTCATTTCCCACAAGCCCTTCTCCTTTCTTCTGTTTCTTTGGGCACGTTTCGTGAAAATGAGTGAAGTTGGTTAGTGTTTCAATTTTATGATATTATTTATATTTTATAAATTTAAAATTTTTAAATAAAAATTTATATATTTTAATTTTTTTTAATTTTAAAAAACTTTAAATAATGTATTTAAAAAAATTTTTAATTTATGACATATTTATTGAAATTTATAAAATTTTTAATATTTTAACATTATTTATATTTTATAAATTAAATTTTTTTTAAAAAAATTTATATGTTTTAATTTTTGTTTAACCTTAAAAAGATCTTAAATAACAAATTTTGAAAATTTTTAAATTTATATTTTTAATAAACTTACTTTTTATTTTTAAAAATAATTTTTAAATTTTTTTAATAAAAATTTAAATTTATAACTTATAAACAATACTAAAAATATAAAAGTTTTAAAAAAACTCCAGAAATTTAAATTGCAATTTTAACAGCTCGAGGCATGGGGAAGATTCATAAAATGATGTATATCTAATGATCTGAGAGGCCTAACACTTACAGTATTTGTCTATAAACATATATATAATCTTCGTTAAAATGCTTCTTACTTTTTTCTTTTTTTTTTGACAAATGAAAAATTGAGGGATGAAAAAATAATTATAATATTGTTACACTGGTAACTTGAACTCTTGACAAAGAAATCAAGAACGTTAGTGCACTTCCATCGCGATTAAGGCCGCAAGTGCAAATGCTTTTTACTTTTTTTAAAATTATATTTATTCATTCTTTAACTTTTGTATTGTGGATATATAGGCTTTGTTTGCTTAATTTTGCTGTTTGCTTAATTTCGCTGTTAGAACGGCTAAAATCAATTTCTAAATTAATGTTTTCGGTATCCAAATTAACTGTTTAAAGCAAGTAATATAATTTATATATTAAGCATATATATTTATTTATACTTTACATTCCAAAGGCAGCTCTTTAACCTTTTTTAAAAAAATTAAAATTTTAAATTAAAATTAAGAAATGAACTAAACTAAATACTATTATTTTAGACACTTTAACCTTTGAATTTAATGACATCAAATTACTTTTAATTGCATTTCTCTTCGCTCAGGTAACGATTCAAATTTTATTTTTTATAAAATTATTTTAAAAAAATTACTACTATTTTTTAGGAAGTATAAATATTAATTAAGCAAATTCTGTATCTAGCTACCATGCATCTTGCTCATTGAATGTTAAAAAATAAAAAAGAAAAAAGAAAAAGAAAAAGCTTTCTTCATTTGAAAAGGACTACCGAAAAAAAGTATATATATTACTTCTATCACGCGTATTCTGGACTAGTCACTCTCAAACTGCAACCAAATCATGCATTAAATGTTGCATGCACTCGTCACCCCTCAAGAAAATTCAACACATTCACTCATTTTCCTCCATCAATATTGCCATATAATCCTGCTCCCGAAATTTCAGTGTCAACATTGATATTGTGATATTGTGGATTTGTGGGGTGAGAGAAGAAAACAGGGTAGTCTATTTTCATTAACGCGTATCTTACGTGGGATTGAAGTCATATATATAGTTTTTCCAACATATATGCCCCCCGCGCGAAGTACATGAATCGCTGATCTTACTTTGTACTCCTTCTTTTTTTGTTTAGACTCTAATCAATGTATTATTGAGTCAAGTTACATGACTTTTAAAATAATAATATTATAATTATAATATTATATAAAATTATAAATTTAAAATTATGATGTGAATTTTTTTGTATTAACTTTTTGATATTAAATAATTATATTAAATTTTAATTAATTCAGAATCAAATTAGGTAAGATCCTATTAAGAGAAATTATCTTCGAATTTGTTTTTTAATTCAAAATACTCAAAGAAAAGATCATCCTTAAAAGGAATTGATTTATTTCTATTCGAATC